CTCACCATCGTAAGCAACCATCTACCGATCCAAAGGCCAACATGAGCGGCTTTGGTGGAGCAAAGATTGCACGAATTAGGGGCAAGAATGTCGAAACAGATTTGGGACACTGCAGGAGACTTACTAAGCCGATCGACGAATTTCATGTTTCACTAATTCAAATAAGCCTATGTTGTGAGTGATTAGTATGCGGTCAGGATCGAGGAAATACAACACATCTCAGTCTGTGACGTGCAAGTTCATGAAACCAATTACGTACTGTACCGCTGGCAGAAACAAGCGTTGCCGAAAGGTATTTGGCTCGAATGTTCTTTGCAAGCGCAAGTAACTCAGCTGATAGCCCCGAAAAGTTAAGTTCAAGACCGGTACACCTTGTGCGAATAAAAGGTAATAACAGAATAGACTTAAATTCAACCTCTTTGATTAAACACCAGGAAACCTAGACTAAGCTTTTGTCTACAAAACTGGCAATTTAGTGCTTGTGACACTGGTCACCGCCTCATGGAACAGGACGTCCTGAAGGCTTAGTTACCTTTTACGAGTTGCTTCGTTAGTCACTCAATTTGAAAGTTTAACAAGTCTGTCTCAGTTGACATGCAAATTGGCATAGTACCCTCAAGTTACTCAAGTTTATTTAATTACTCGTGACCAGAGGATATCTTAGCTAATTATTTTCCACATTGGAACTTCGGTTTCATCTTTTCCTGGTCGGAGGGATATTGTCGGCACACAACGGCATTCAAGCCAACTTGGGTTAACATCTATACAATAGTCTGTGGTGAACTAGACCACTGACAACTGGATAGCTCCATGTCTTCACTTGTGTGTGTGGATTTAAAATGTTTAAACCAGGCATTCTCAACCATTATTCAGCCGTGGCCTCCGTTTGAACCTTTCCATTGCTCATGGCCCTCCACTCTTGCTCACCACAAGCTTGGCAATGCGCAATGCCTAACAGACGCAAATTTGTGGTTTGCAGTGGTCATATTGGCATACATTTTATGATGGCTAAATTTTTAATGTTGTTAGAACTGTTTTTTCTCTTATAAACCTCATTTGTAACTTTCGTAACCCCAAGATAACATTCATTGTGCGGCAGCACCAGGCTACTAGTCTGTAATTGCATAAAAGTCATCATTATTATTTAAAATTGTATTTAATGATGTTTGGCTTTAACTGTAAGGCATGTCATAAATTAATAGGTATAACAACTTGTTTAGAATATGTTTATCGAAATAGTAATGCGAGCCTTGAGCCTGATGTCTTTGTGAAAGCTTGCTTATGTTCGGCTCCAGACTTGTCAAAGAGAATCGATTGTCTCCTCTTGCTGTGACTTGTAATTTGTTCCTACTTTTGTTAGAGAAACCATCCTACTGAATCCACATGCAACCAAGTATGTGGATGGAAAAGCAAGGGAATATCTTTCAGCCATTTCCCACCGTATGGGAAATATGTTAGGGGCAGCAGTCCTTATCAAAAAGTCCTCTTTAACTGCATAAATTTGTATCTTGCTAGGGTGTCAAGTTGAATCTCTATGCGAGTTTGCTGGATTCCAACTCTACTTCACAGCGCTACACATCAAATGGACTTAAAATTGAAATCGGGTTTTCCACGTCATTCAGCTCATGAGACCCGTCATTCATTTCTTTTATGTGTTTTGGCAAATGGCTGACATAAATAATCAAGTCTTCATCCTTCAGCTCCTCCGTGACTGCGGCCAGAATTGAGAACTGTGAAAATTCCAGACGTCCGATGTTTTGAGCATACACTTCAAGATCATAGGAAAAAGGATAACTGCCTCTTTACTCGAGATGAGCTTACTCAACTTGTCTTGAAGGGTTTTATTTAAAAAGTTTTTCAAAAACATCAGCCAGGTAAAAGGCATCTGGCTTAGCTGTTAACACTTTTCTTTCATAATCAAATCCAGCAAGGAACATGCTAATGATGTCCCGCAGTGCAACAAAACAGCGAATATAGTTGCCTTTGGAGAGTCATCTAAGTTCTATGTGCAACAAGAGAACCTGGAAATCTTCACAGTTCTCCTCACACAACTGTTAGAAAAGGCGATTTTGAAGAGGGTTGATTTACTATTGTTGACAATGAATCGTTCAAACGCCCTCCCAAGTTCTTAGCCACTAGGTCCTCACCATGAATCACACAGTGCATTGCATAAACAGAAAATGTAAACTTTTGGGTAGGCAATGAATCTTTTATATCTTACGACCACTGCGGCAGCATATCGGTTGCACATAAAACTATGTTTTGTATTGTGATGGTTTTCAGTCAGACAGTTGCTAACTACCTCAAATATAGACTGACCCTTTTTATGAGTTTTAATGCTCCTGCTTAAGATTGTAGAAGGTAGAAGTCACGATTAAAATTCACGCACAACAATGTGCTTAACAGAATCTTTCACAATCCATTATTATTGAAGAATCGGGCAGGTGCCACGAGAAGAGCCTCGTCGTCATGTAAATTAGATTAATCTACTTGTAACGAAAGTCTTCTGGAGTCTAGTACATTAACTAACATGCTTTCTATATACTGAGTCATCTCATCTATTCGCCTATAAACGGAATGGCTTGAACTGCTTTTCGCGATTTCATATTCATCAGGTCAGACAGTAGCATCAATAATAAAGGCAACCAAATATTTGCTTCAACATTATGCGATTTGCTATTTTTGGCAAGCAACTTGCTGGTTTTATAAGACGCCGTAAATCCATTTGCTATTTTTTATCCTGTCAATAACTACTCTTTAAACTTGGCTTTTTTCGAAACTATCCCACCGCTATTTGAAAAAACCACACACTTTCCTTTTTCTTCCTTATAATCACTTTCCAAATGATTATTCCCTTTACTTGGTCGTATACTTTCATTTGTAAGAAGATTTTGACAAATTAAACATATAAGTAGAGTGGGATTTTGAAGTGATACGATAAATCCAGATGACAGGTTATCCACCAAGTACTGTCGAAGAGCTATTTTCTGAAATGTGTCATTGCAAATGGTTCATTTGTAATACATTGTTATATTGTTATTGTTTTATTTCTTTTACACAGTTTTGTCATGGGTATTACATATCATTCGACAAGGTGAAACACTCGAATGCTATGAATTTTTGGTGCCACTCAATTTATTCTTACTTGACCGTGAGATTATACGATACGACGTGGTAAGCATACTTGTAACCTCGGTAGTAGGCTACAATGTTATAATGTAAGAGTGTAGAAACATTGTAAGAGGCAACCCAAAGTTGGTTTCTGAGAATGATTTTAAAAGTACCGTGGAAAGCTAAACAGACTAAAACAAACTTCTCACCAGAAGCCAGTGAACAATACAAATGAAACTCAAAAAATGACATTGCTTACTGGACACATATTCATTACAGGAAATTAAACCAAACAGGTAAAATGCAGGAGAGAAGAGACGAACACGGAAGCGAAGGCTGTAGTTCATGAAACTGGCGCGGGCGAGTCCACAACGAAATTAATAACGCAATCCGCTGTTGCCTAACAAGTTGTCGAATTCGTGTTGGAAAACATTAGATTATGATGAGTATTAGGAGAAATATCCTTGAGTAAACATTATGTTAGATATACTCACCAAAGAAACCGGATGTCAACGCGTATTAAGGTTGAGAAAACTGCTCGCTAATTTGAAAAATTTAACTAAAATGATTATGAAGAAACCGTTATTGCGTTTCGACTGTTAGTCGGAACCAACGAAGCTTTCACAGAGATAGTATCCCACGTGCGCAGAGTAGCCATTCGAGCTCGGAACCTTGACAGCTAACCTGAGATAGCCGCCTGACGAATATGCGAAATGAGACTGGAGACGAAAAGCACGTAACCTAAAGCTACCGCACTGAGACCCAAACGAGAAAGCCTGACCGGCACATGAGTTGTCATACAGTGGTAGTGTCCTGAGGAAAACTCAGTGTCAGTGTGGCTGTGCGGTAACTACCGCAGTGTTCTGACGAGAGTTCGCTATGTTCACTGCCACTTGCACCTTGGGTGCATCCGTGTCCTGAGTGATACTCTGATTGTTTAATGTGGATAAACATCAAAGTCCTGAAAGCGAATCGGTTGTTATTGTCGTATACGGGACCCAACCCAACATGGAGTGCTGTCATCCAATCAGACCATACAACTGTCCAGCCAATCACCACTAAGCTGGAACCAACCAAACCGATATACCCCAGTGATTCTGGTAAACACGGGAACTTCCTGTTGACACTTTGTTGACTCTGCTTGTCAGTATCTCTTGATCCGCTGTATCAATACTACCGGTCATTTCCACGATCTAGTATTCTATCCACCTACTAGAACAGTTCGGGTTATATCAACTGGCGACGGAATTGGTAATTAAAATGGCAATTTCAGCAGACGATCTCCGTGCAATTCTTCAACAACAGCAGTCGCAGTTCGAGGCCGCTCAGCTCCGTTTACTCGATACTCTAACGCGTAACCTCTCCCTGGTTTCCAAGGACAAGGCACCGCAGGATGAACATACCAACATTGAATCAATTGTTTCTACAATTCAGATTTTCCAGCATGACATTGCATCGGGTGTTACTTTTGAGTCCTGATTCAGGCGCTATGAGGACATTATTCGTGTTGAGTTGGGTGGGAAGGAGGATTCATGGTGATCACGAACACTGCTTCGTAAGTTGGGGATCACGGCGCATGATCGCTTCGTAAACTATATTTTGCCCAAACACCCACGCGAATTTTATTTTGAGGACGCAGTTCAATGCCTCACACAGATTTTTGGCGAACGTTCCTCGCTCTTCAGCACACGTTATCATTGCTTAAAACTCGTCAAGCACTCCATGGACGACTACATTACCTACGCAGGTATCGTTAACCGCGAGTGTGAGCGTTTTAAACTTGCATCCATGACCGAGACACAGTTCAAGTGTCTCATGTTTATTTGTGGTCTACAATCTCCGTCAGACGCGGACATCCGCACACGTCTTCTCACCAGACTGGAGCAAGACCCAGACATAACGTTGCAGAAAATGGCTGAGGAATGTCAGCGCCTGATCAATTTGAAGCATGATTCCCGTATGGTGGAACAGCAGCAGATCAACATGGCAGATGTCAGACCGGTCAGAGCACACAAACAGGAGTCCAAAAAGCCACCAACAGCATGTTGGAACTGTGGCGCATGGCACTACGCCTCACAGTGCACTTTTCGCCGACATCGGTGCAATCAGTGTCAACGCTTTGGTCACAAAGATGGTTTCTGCAAGCCACGCAACTCAACTAAAGCTGACAATTCCAACAAACGGTTTCCGAAACCACCGCAGAAGGCTAGTCGCAGCATTGTTGCTAGCTATCAAGTCAACGCGACATCGCGAAGACGCTATCTAACAGTGAGTGTAAACGGGTATCCCGCGACTCTCCAGGTAGACACAGGATCGGACATCACGATTATTTCGCAAACGATTTGGGAATCCATCGGACATCCTCCAGTTATGCCCACTCAACAGACAGCCCTCAGTGCATCCGGAACAACTCTCGGTTTGGTTGGTGAGTTACGTTGCTTGGTATCTTATAATGGTCAAAAATTTGAGTCTATATGCTACCTCACTAACCAACCAGGATTGAATATTCTCGGCATTGACTGGTTAGATAATTTCAATCTTTGGAGTATTCCGTTTGATAAAGTCTACAAACTGACACTGGGCATCAGCATTCCTCCCGTAATAATCGATGCAGGGCTACAGCAGTCCACTCCACAACGGTTATTTCAGCGATATGCACTAGTTTTCCAGGAAGGACTTGGTCTTTGTAGCAAAATGAAGGCTCAATTGCAGCTGAGAGCAGATGCTAAACCCGTTTTTCGTCCTAAACGTCCGGTGCCTTATTCTGCATTAACCAGTGTAGAGCTAGAGCTGGATCGCCTACAGCTAGCAGATGTCATACAACCAGTCGATTACTCGGACTGGGCTGCTCCAATCGTAGTGGTACGAAAGGCCAATGGCTCAATTCGTGTGTGTGCAGATTTTTCAACAGGTCTCAATGACGCCCTTCAGACACACAGTTATCCACTACCAGTCCCAGAAGACATTTTTGCCAATCTTTCAGGAGGTAGACTGTTTGCCAAACTTGACCTAGCTGATGCATAACTACAAATCGCCATTGACGATGAGTCAAAGGAATTGTTGACAATTAACACACACCGTGGATTGTTTCAGTTTAACCGATTGTCATTCGGGGTTAAAACAGCACCAGCTATTTTCCAGCAGCTTATGGATACCATGCTCACGGGCACTGACGGCGTTGCAGCTTACTTAGATGATATCTTAGTGGTCGGAACAAGTCCAGAAGAGCTAGCAGTGAGGCTCGACCAAGTTTTGGATCGTATACAAGAGTACGGATTGCGCTTGCGACCAGACAAATGCAGCTTACTTTTGCCACAACTTAAATATCTGGGGTTCATTATTGATCAGAATGGACGTCGTCCCGACCCAGCCAATATTTCAGCTATTGTTAACATGCCGGCACCAACAGACGTCAGTAAGCTACGCTCTTTTCTTGGCATGGTTAGCCGCTATGCTAATTTTCTCCCAGAAATGCATCAACTGCGAGCACCTCTAAACGCATTACTCATAAAAGTGGTCAAGTTTATTTGCTCAGCAGAGTGTCAAGCAGCGGTAGATCGGATTAAAGATATGCTGACTTCCGATCTCCTTCTCACGCATTACGATCCCAAACTTCCAATCGTGGTAGCTGCCGATGCAAGCAACTATGGCATCGGAGCTGTGTTGTCCCACACTTTCCCAGACGGTTCTGAGAAAGCAGTTATGCACGTGGCACGATCGTTAATATCAGCAGAGAAAAATTATTCCCAGGTTGAAAAGGAGGGCCTGTCTATCATATTTGCTGTCAATAAATTTCACAAAATGCTATATGGTAGACGTTTCAAGTTACTGACGGATCACAAACCGTTGCTGACCATATTTGGTTCACATAAATGCATCCCGGATACTACAGCCAGCCGTCTACAGAGATGGGCTCTATCCTTACTAGCCTACTATTTTAGCATCCATTACCAACCGACCACAGATTTTGGGCAAGCCGATGTGTTGTCTCGGTTAATTGTGGATAATCCAGCAGACAACAACGAGACAGTGATTGCTAGTGTTAAAGTGGATCAGGAGATCAATCGGGTAATTCTCGACACCGCGAAATCCCTACCAGTCTCGCTAAAATCCATCCAGCAGCACACATCGCAGGATGCCGTACTACGTAAGGTGATGAAGCACGTGAAAGAAGGTTGGCCATCGAGGGTATCAGATGCAGAACTCATCCCCTATCACCGGTGCCAAAACAGCTTATCAATCGTTGACTCGTGTTTGCTTTTCGCTGAACGTGTGGTTGTTCCCTCAGCTTTACAACGGCCCATTCTCACCCAACTTCACAAAGGCCATCAAGGAATCACGCGCACCAAAGCATTAGCTAGAAGTTACGTGTATTGGCCAGGGATGGATGATGATATCTCACACCTGTGTACGCGGTGTGAAAACTGTGCGATCACGCAAAAATCACCAAACAAATTGGCCCCTGTGCCATGGCCAGCAGCGACCACGCCGTGGTCAAGAGTACATGTAGATTTCGCCGGCCCAGTAGATGGTAAATCTTATCTCATCGTGATTGACGCTCATAGTAAATGGCCAGAAGTTGTAACAATGCCGACGATCACTGCAGTCGCAACAATTAGACAGTTGCATCAAATATTCAGCCGATTCGGAATGCCGGAGACATTAGTCAGCGATAATGGCCCACAATTTACTAGCGAAGAATTCGCAACATTTTGTCGTTCCAATGGGGTGGCACACATACGCACACCCCCTTTCACCCGCAATCGAACGGTCAGGTTGAGCGATTCGTCGACACGTTCAAGCGTGCACTTATCAAAGGGCGAGGCGACGGCCCCAGGGACGATTGCATACACACATTCCTAATGATGTATCGAATCACACCACACTCCTCCTGTAACGGAAGGTCACCGTCGGAAATGTTGTTTAACCGTCAGATCAGGTCAATTTGGGACATAATCGTTCCGGAGGTGAGAGAATTAGCCAATCCGGAAACAACCAAATCTGCGCAACCCAAACAGCACGTAATAGCGAGAACATTAAAACCAGGTGACTTGGTATGGACAAGAGACTTCTGGCCGTCGCAAAACAGATGGACGCCAGGTGTAATCACCAGACGGATTGGTCGAGTCACGTACCTAGTAAAGGTCAACGGTCAGACATGGCACAGGCATATGAACCAGCTCAGACACCGCTCTGATAACAATCAGTATTTACCTCGTCACAATTCCCAGTTTGATTTTCAGTTATTACTGGAGGAGTTCTCATTGCCGAAACCGACAAATGCAAATTCGGATCGAGTGGAAAACGAAAGCCAAGCGTTGATGTCAGATTTGGATGTGGTTCACAGACGCCCCGTACGCAACCGCCGACCACCCGATCGTTTCATCTATACCCAACGGTTGGCAACTACAGGCAGACGTGTCAAAAGAAGAGGGAGGTGTCGTATACGGGACCCAACCCAACATGGAGTGCTGTCATCCAATCAGACCATACAACTGTCCAGCCAATCACCACTAAGCTGGAACCAACCAAACCGATATACCCCAGTGATTCTGGTAAACACGGGAACTTCCTGTTGACACTTTGTTGACTCTGCTTGTCAGTATCTCTTGATCCGCTGTATCAATACTACCGGTCATTTCCACGATCTAGTATTCTATCCACCTACTAGAACAGTTCGGGTTATATCAGTAATTTACGCTGTGTAATTTGTCGTATGATGACCGTATCTTTTAGGTGAGTCCAGTGAAATTTACGCAACTTTGCCGAAGCTATGCCAGCTCCGCAACAGAAAGTCTGCCAGATCTTGCTGTCATAATTTGTAAAATGCCACTTGCGCGCGTGAAATTCACTTCACTGATTGTTAGCTACCAAGGTAGATTAGTGCGCGGAGAGAAACTATCAGAAAATGTTATAAAAATTGATTTTTCGTTTTCGGGTCATCACAAACCACTTTTCAAACATGGTTTCGTATGTTTCCCCCATGGCCTCCCCAAAATAGTTTCACATTCCAGGGTCCCCCGGGGATTCTCAGTGACCCCCTTGAGAATGGCTGGTTTAAACAATGCTAAGGAATTTCTTTAACTTCATCGGAAAGTGCAGGAAAGGCACCAATTGGTAGTTATCTCCATACACGCCTGTTAAGTGGTGGCTAGAACGCAATACATTAAAAATAAAGGAAAGGTGCCCAACCTAAACAGTGAACGTAAAACTCCATTCAGCCGTCCCTTCAGATGCTTTGTAGATGCTAATGGTCCAACGTTAACCTCCCCATATTTAACGACAATGTGTTCCTGATATATCAACTCACGCGGAAAAAGTGGCCATTTGGCTGAGAACCTTTTAGGCCAACATCTTTGATCCTAGCTCCTCACCTGTGGAGGTGTAGTATGGGTGCGAGTAATAGTCGTCGACAGTATCAAGTAACTGGTTTGTATTTGAACTGTAGCAGTCCAGGAAGTAATCAACTCACATGGTATGCAGTATATCACAACGTAACCCTCATAGAAGTTAAAGCACCCCCATCAGTAGATAGCAAAGGAACCTTCATAAATACAGTTGAGAACAGCCACTGCGCAGCATGAAACCTTTCCGCAATGGCGTTAACGCAGATGATACAACAGCTCCACAAGCTTTCGGGTATTCAAAACGTCAAACAAGCATTACCAAGGGATATCAGTAACTACCAAGATGGATTAAGTAATAGGGTTAATAACGTTGGCTGGATAGATGAATCGCCTGGCAAATTTATGCTTGAAAAGATCATTTTTCGAAGCTGAAAACCGATCTCGAAATCACAACAACCTAGTTCGTCTAGTTGAGCATTTGTATTCGGTGCTACTAATGTTCGAAAATATTTCTCTGCATTCGAATTTCAGCTTATGCATCTACCTCTAAACGGCTTTGCAACTCAAGTGATGATGGGAACCTGGAAGCAGGTGCACTCTTTTTAATTCGGTGAACAGCGGCCAACTTTGATCAACTTGATAATTAACATGGGATGCAACACACAAGGAAATCACTTTTTGTGAGAGCGTGACACAACATCCAACTCATATATATCATGGGTAGTAATGCGAAACGCTGCAGTCAGAATGATTGGAGGCTTACATTTGATTTAACTTAACTGAAGAAAACAGAGTAGTCTTGAATTCAATATATTGGGTTACGAATTACCGTGACAACAATGTCCCTTCAGGCTTTGC